GGAGAATAAGCTTGGGGACAATGCGCTGGAACTGAGCATCTAATCATATACCAGTGTAAAATCATACATACAATATCAAACCTACTTCTCCAGCTCAAAATGGATCCGATTCTTAAGCATGAACAACACCATTCTCCCAAGATAGATAAATGCAAAAAATTGTCAAAGGAACACTTTGGCCTGAAATGGGAAGAAGGAACTTAAGAAATGATGTGAGACGCAGCAAGAAAAATAATAGGTACAAGCAAGAGAAAGTGCAAGAATAATTTGGGCAGAATTCAAAAGTGCGTTTCAGCAGGGATACAAAGGAAACACAAGTAGAGGGTGTCATCACCACACACAAAAAAAAAACAGGTGTTGAATTAAGTCACTGAAAAGGGGGCTTATAGGCAAGGAAACGTAATAATGCATTACCTATTCACAGCTGCATGTAAGCAAATGAGCTGTAACCACTCAGTGTGAGGAAGCCTGCATTATTGCGTATTTCACAGGCAACTAAAGCAATCTTGTCACAAAGATCACCAACTATATAAAATTGGCCGCATGGCACCAAAACATAATTAAAGCATTATCATTTTCAGAATGCCGAAGCAAAGCTCCAAACAAACAAATCATCATGAAATATTACGAATCTTCGTAATTTCTCACAATACGTCATGTTAAGGCTTCAATGTCTGCTTTAGTGAAGCTTAAACTCTTGATATGTGTATATGTATATAAATACGACACAATATAACCTCCACTTTCTAAATTCCCCACCTTCAAAAGCCTCCTTAAAAACATGATGAATAACATTTTGGGCTTCTTCCTCTGACCTTGTTTCTACTCAGGTCAGACCTACAGTTATAAAGTGCGCTACCTTGATATTTGATAAAAAATCTGACATAACTGTAAACTAGTTTTCATTTCATTATCCAGGAATTATCGTGATTTATAAAAGTTTTACCTTGTGACCTGGTTGCCTTAACTGTTATTTGAAGTCTGCGTCGCTGTCCTCAATGAACAGCCTGAAGCTACTTGGCCAACTGAGAGCTATTCCTTCCATTAAAATACTCTGAATGTGCCAATGCTCGAATTACAAGCATGTAAAGAATGCCAGGTTAGCTGAATCAATTTCATTCCAGACCATGAATAAACCATTGATTACAAGATTAGAAGTTTGCTTTTTTGCCCCCTCAAATATCTTTCAGTCAATTTTCATACCTTAGTGAAAGCAATGTTAATCTATACTTGGTCTGTAAGTTCCACGAATCCAATAACGACAACTTTCAGATCAGGAGAAACCATAATGCAATTGGCTTCCTACTGGAACAGTGTACTAGATGGTCAGGAATGGCTCTCGCATGTACTTGTCACTCGATTAATTACATATCAGTGACCCTGCACATTGCTGGGGGTGGGGGGGCTTCCCCTGGAGTTGAAATGTCACAAAGATTATAATGATTTAGCGTGAGAAGACTATAACCTAATATTGGCAGACAAAGTAATCCTAAACTGGGTATATCTGCAGGACTTTAAAACAATGCTGATAGCTGACAAGTCAGATTCAGTAAAAGAATCAAAACAGGGTAGACCTTTTGTTGGAGGGGGAGCTATTTTCACTTAAGCCTGAGAGATAATGGTCAAGGGGTAAGACAATCTGCAATAGAACAGAAGCAGGAATCTTATATAAATAAACAACAGTTTATCTAACTGCTTATCACAATCTCAGGACATTCTCAAAACACCTCAGACAATAAAAGAAAAAGCCATCATAGCTCCAGAGGACCACAGGTTGCTCATTCGTTAATGGTGGTAAGTTTAACCTGACTGCCATCACACCTCAAGTGGAGTGAGGTTGAGAACAATAAAGTCCTTCTGAAGTGTAGAGACACCTCCAGGTAGTTGCAGCCAATTTGAACAGAACAAGCTCCCATAAACAAGATTAATATTGGTCAATTGATAGATATTGGACAGGAGAAAACTCTGCAGTACATCTTTGAATAATGCCACATTATCAATTACATTTAAATTGTTGTAGATCATTTCTTCCACAACACTATGGCCAACATGTCTATAACTATCATCCACAAACCTATCATATTGAACACCTGCTCCTCTGCTTCTGGCATCATTCTATATAAATAAACATTCATGCCACACAGGTTCCAGGCACTAAGCATCTCCAACAAGAAAGAATCTAACTATTGCTTCTTGATATTCAATGGCATTAACATTGCTGAAATATTCACTCTCAGCATCCTGAGGTTACCATTGACCAAAACTGGACCATCAAAATTAACATTATGCTACAACAGCAGGTCAGAGGCTGGGAATTCTGCAGCAAGTAACTCCTAACCTTCAGAGCATGTCCAGCATCTACAAGGGGCAAATCAGAAGTGTGATGGAATGCTCTTCATTTGACTGGAAGGCTGCAGTTCAAACAGCACTCAAGAAGCTCAACACCATGCAAGGTAAAACAGTCAGCTTGACTGGTACCCATCCATCACCTTCAAAATTCACGCACTCCACCATTGATGCACAGTGGCAGTATGTCTGCTATTTACAAGATGCACTGTAGCAACTCACCAAAGGCTCTTTTGGCAACACCTTTCAAACACACACCTCTACCACATTGAAGAACTAAGGTAATAGATGCATGGGGGCAAGTTCATCTGCAAGCTCATCACCAAGCCACAAACATCTTGACTTGTAACCATATCACCATTCCTTCAGTTCCATTGTGTCAAAGTGCTGGAACTTTCTTCCAAACAAACTCTGGATGTACCAAACTCATTCACTAATGGACTGCAGCAGTTCGCAATGGCAGCTCACTACCACCTTCTCAAGCACTAAAATCACTGGCTTAGCCACTAGTACCCACGTACCATGAATGTAGCCACTGTACAGTGCTGGAAACACATATTGTTGGTCTTGCACACATTCTAATTTAGTATATACTGTTTGATGTTATGATACAACACAAGGGAGTTCCCTTGCAGATTGGGTAATTTTTTTTGTTTAATACTTCAGTTCAGTGCACATGCATGGTGTGACAGGCCAGTTGCTTCCCAGTTGAAAGCCTTATCCTACTCTATCATTTCTGTCCTTAGTTAACATTGTTGTAAATAAACTTGATGCAAACTTAGATCAGCATTTCATTGTTCTATGAGCTACCTTGCAGCCTAATCTTAAAACTCATTAATCTCATTTTTCTCTGCAGACAGAAGATATTGACAATGGAGGATGGCTGAACCAGAGCCCTGAGAATAAAGAACGTGCTGGGCTGCTGTTTGGATTTATGGTATAGATTCTCTACAGCCAGTAGGGCGCAGTTGACAGCTGAGGTTGCAGGAACAGCAACTCATATTCCGCTTGGGAACCCTGCAGCCCAATGGTATCAATGTGGATTTCACAAGTTTCAAAATCTCCCCTCCCCCCACCGCATCCCAAAACCAGTCCAACTCGTCCCTTCCTCCCACCTATCCCCTCCTCCCACCTCAAGCCGCACCTCCATCTCCTACCGACCAACCTCATCCCGCCCCCTTGACCTGTCCGTCCTCCCTGGACTGACCTATCCCCTTCCTAACTCCCTACCTACACTCACCTTTCCTGGCCCCATCCCCGCCTCTTCGACCTGTTTGTTTCCTCTCCACCTATCGTCTCCTTTATCCCTCTTCTATCCGCCTCCCACTCTCTCCCTATTTATTTCAAAACCCCCTTCCCCTCCCCCTTTTCTGATGAAGGGTCTAGGCCCGAAACGTCAGCCTCTCTGCTCCTACTATGCTGCTTGGCCTGCTGTGTTCATCCAGCCGTGCACCTTGTTGTCTCGGATTCTCCAGCATCTGCAGTTCCTACTATCTCTGAGATTTATCTGCCGTTCATCTATCAAGTTCCTATTCACACACCACCTCCACTTTGGCAGATTTTCAAGCTTTCCCTCCCACCACCACTTCAGTCGATGTCTTTTTGCTTTGCACTCCCCAGCTCGTCTTTTATCTCCATACCGGTCCTCTTATTACCGATTTTTGTCTTGCACCATCATCCCTTTTATCACTCAATCACTCCCACCTTTCGTACTATCACAGACCTTACATTCGCTTTACAAATACCAAATTATAATTTACTTCAAAGATCTCCCAATTCAAATGAAAGGTCTGAAACGGTAACATGTTTCTCTCTCCAGTAACGTTACCTGACTGGAGTGTCTCCAGCATTTCATTTTTATTTCAGATTTTCAGAATCCACATTATTTTACCTTTGTTGTTGGCCTCCAGGTGAGAAGGCAGATAGGGACTCCAGTTTAACAAATCATTCAATAGACATCATCTTTGACAGTTCAAGACTTTCTTAACTCTGCACTGAAATGTCAATCCAGATTGCATACTCAAGTCTCTGGAGCAGGGCTTGAACCCACAAGCATCTGACATAAAAGAAAGTTGTTTGCTGGAAAGCCATGTGGGTTTTAGTTACTTTAATGGCAGCACTGCACTTCTTTTTCACGAAGAACCAGGGGTGGGTCCTCCAGTTTCGGCTTCACCGAACGTTAAACACGAGTCTGAATCTCTTCAGCCTGATAACTGACCAACAAGTGGATGATCCTTTGAGTCCAGTATCTTATATACCTGTCAGCCTCTGCCATTAGCTGCGTGCCTTTAGTCCCATGACGCCAAGCTCTGGAATTCCCTTCTAAGAATCACCTCAACCCTGTTTCTCTCACTTGATTTTTAACTAACTGTCCTCCTACATTGCTGTCGGTTTCACTTTGATAGAAGGGACTTGGAGCGTTCTGTTACATTGAAGGCGCTCTACAAATGCAGCATGTTGTTGATCATTGAAGTGACTGGTTTAGGGGCGACACAAACTGCCCCAGTGTCGGTCACTCAGCAGATTGATTCGAAGGCGTGGATCAGGGGCCTGCCAAGTCGGGGCACTATGTTCACCAACCGCCTAGGCCCGAGATCAGGTCCCGGCGGACCAACACACACCCGCCCCGCCCCCCCCGGGATCCCGTTCCTTACCGTCTCCGTCCGGGTAATAATCGTCCTCCAAATCCATGGCCGCGGGCAAACGATAGCCCGCTTCGGCTCAGCCCCCCGACACCACGTACCTTCCACCCGGCGTCTCTCCCCAAACTAGAAGCGGCGCTCTGGCCTACGGACTCGGCAGCACTGCGCATGCCCGCCGGTCAGAGGTCACGGAGCACGTGACGGACCCGGCCGCCGGGTGGGGGAGGCCATTGAGCCCATCGAGCCCATCGAGTCTGCTCCACCGTTTAGTGAGATTATGGTTCCTCTGATAACCCTCAGCACCACTTTCCCCTTTATCCTTGATTCCCTTCATCAAAAGATCTACCTAACCTACTGTTGTATATAATTAACGACCCAGTCTCAATAGCCCCCAAATGGTAACAAATTACAGATTTACACAAGGGGAAACAACCTTTCCACGTCTATCCTGTCAAGCCCCCTAACAATCTTGCTTGCTTCAATAAGGTCACTTCATTCTTCTAAACTAGTGAAGGGATACTCAACCTGTCCTCATAATACAGTCCCTCTACCCAGGATCAACCGAGTGAACCTTCTCTGGAATGTCGCTAATTCCATTATATGTTTCCTCAGATGAGAGGCCCAAAACTGTTCATTTTATTCTAGCTGCAGTCTGACTAATGTCTTTTAGAGTTTTAGCAAGACTTATCTATTTTTATACTTCACTCCATTTGAAATAAAGGCCAACAATCCATTTGCCTTCCCTGTTACTTGATGAATTTGTATGCTAGCTTGAGATATACGCAAGGACTTCCAAAACACTCTGAGTTGTAGGTTTCTGAAGTCTTTCTCTATTTAATAATATTCAGTTCCTTGTTTCTTTCTGCCAAAGTAACCAAAATAATCTCAATTTATACCCCATTATATTCCTTATGCCAAGTCTTGGTCCACTTCCTCAACCTGTCTATATCCACTGTAGAATCTTTGTGTCCTTAACACTTGCCTTCCCACTTTTTTAGTGTCATCCGGGTGAATGCGTAGAGACATCAGGTTCAAAGCTAATCCTGGAAAGCAATCATTTAAAAATATCATGATCACCAACAGTAATGTCATCACTGGTAGTCAGCATAGAGTCATATAGCACAGAAACAGGCCCTTCAACCTTTTAAGTACTAAAGACATCGTACTGTACTTGGAAGGTTAACTCTTTTTCTCTGTACATATGCTGGCAAACCTGATGAGTTTCTGTAGCATTCACTGAGTTTGGTACAGATTTCCAAAATATGCAATATTTTGCTTTTATCCTTTAGCGCGTTGTGTCTGCACCAGTCATCAAGTATCCATCTACTCCAATCCTGTATTCCAGCATGTGGCCTGTAGCCTTCTAGGCAATGATGTTTTAGTGTTTATCTAAATGCTCGTTAAGTGTCTTGAGGGTTCTCACTTCTACCACCTTTTTTGGTAATGAGTTCCAAGCACCCACATGCAGGAAGTGATGTGAAATGCAGGCACAGAACTTGGCTAAGGTCGGATGAGATCTTTGCCACACTTGTCCTGAAGGCTGATGAAAAAGCCAATTTTAGAAAGGGTTAAGTCTTGCCCAAGAACCACACATGACGTTGTCCCCTTGCCGGTAGTACAGGATGGTCTCTGCTGATACTTTGTTGGTAGGGGTTCATCTCCTAACCTCCCCTCTGCACATGCTCAAACAAGCAAAACTTCCTTTGTCTGGATATTGCTATCATGCTTCGCACGTTTTCCCGAGAAAGACTGCTTAATTTGTGACTTTGACTTTCTAGATGAAGCAACCACCCAGAGACGAAAGCTGATCCCACTTTTGATGTGTAGATTAGGTGGGTTATGAGGGATGCTTTGAGGGCCAGTGTGGACTTGTTGGGCCGAAGGACCTGTTTCCACACTGTAGTGATTTGATTCATTGATTCATAGCATTGTGCGGCATGGTGGTGCGGTGGTTAGCACTGCTGCATCACAGCACCAGCGACCAGGGTTTGATTCCACCTTCGGGCGACTGTCTGTGTGGAGTTTGTACATTCTCCCCATTTCTGCGTGGGTTTCCTCCGGTGCTCCGGTTTCCTCCCACAGTCCAAAAATGTGCAAGCTAGGTGAATTGGCTATGCTAAATTGCCCGCAGTGTTCAGGGATGTGTAGATCAGGTGGGTTATAGGGGAATGGGTCTGGGTGGGATGCTATGAGGGTTGGTGTGGACTTGTTGGGCAAAGGGCCCATTTCCATACGGTAGGGATTCTATAATCTAGGATTCCAACTGACTTGTCCTTGACTCCAGAGTGGAAGTTACTGAGTCTTTGTTTCTGGTAGGTCTACGTTCATATGATCGTGAGACATGTAGTGCCCAACCATCTTCACCAGCATCATCAATGACCTCTCCATCATAAGGTCAGAAATAGGGTACTGCATTGACCATCTCCGACAAGAAGGAATCTAAGCGTTGCCTCACGTCATTTAATGGCATTGCCATCATTGAATCCTCCCTATCACTATCATGGGTGTTAATATTGACCAGAAACTGAATGGGAGAACCATACACCCCACAGTGACTACAAAAACAGGGCAGAGTCTAAGAATTCTGTGAAGAGTAACGCATCTTCTATTTCTCCAATGCATCTCCATCTGTGAGGCACAAGTCAAGAGTATGGTGTAATACTCCCCATTTGTCTGGATTGGTGCAGCGTCAATAACACTTAAGAAACTTGACACCATCCAGGATAAAGTTCTGACGAAGAATCATACTGGACTCAAAATGTTAAATCTGTTTATTTCTCCACAGATGCTGCCAGACCTGCTGAGTTTCTTAAATATTCTCTGTTCTTGTTTCAGATTTCCAGCATCCACTATGTTTTACTTTTATTAAAGCAGCCCATTAATTAGCACAACATCTAACCTCTTGAATGTTCAGTCCTTTTAGCATCAATGGACAGTTGCAGCAATATGTAATCTACAAAATGCAACAACTCACCAATAGTCCTTCTAAACCTGTAAATTTTAACGCCTTGAAGGACAAGAGCAGCAGATGTGAAGGAATACCATCACCTGAAAGTTCTTCTCCAAGTCACACATCAGACTGACCTGGAATGATATTGCTATTCCATCACTGTCGCTGTGTGAAATTCTCATTCCCTAATATCATTTGAATGTTCCTACATTCCAAGGACTACAGTGGTTCAAGAAGGCAGCTCACCACCAACTTCTCCAGGGCAATTATAAATGTTAGCCTAACCAGTAACACCCACGTCAGTTAAAGAAATAAAAGAAAATATGCTATTCAGCATTTCAATCTTGCTGCACCATTGAAGAAACTCATAGTTGATTTGACTATGGCCTTAACTCTACTTTCTGCCAGTTCCCCATAACCCTTGACTTACTTGTAAACCAAAAACTCAGCACTGATGATCATAAATGGCCCAGCCTCGAAGGCTGTCTGTGGAAGTGATTTCCAAAGACTAAGGGTTCAGTGAAAAAAGAAATTCCTTATCATCTCCGTCTTAGATTGAAGATGTCTTATTTTTAAACTTCCATTTCTCAGTCTGGATTCCCCCAAAGGAAAAATATTCAGCATCTATCCTGTCAAGCCCATAAAGGATGTTGCATATTTCAATATGATCACCTGCCATTCTTCTAAACTCCAATGAACACTGACTCAAGATGCTCAATATTTTTTCAATAGGCAACTATTTTAGGAGCCATTTGAGTGAACCTGCTCTGAACTGCTTCCAATGTAAGTTTGTCCCATCTTAAGTAAGGATACCATGACTGTAAGCAGTATTCTAAGTGCAGTCTCAGCCACGCATTCCTCCAATCTCACCAGTTTTGTAAGAAGATTTCCTGATTATTATATCTAACTCCCTGCAATAAAGGCCAACATTTCATTTCCGTTCCTTATCACTTGTTGTAGTTGCATAATGACTTTTTGTGAATCCTGTACAAGAACACCAAGATCCTTTTAGTGACACCATTCTGCAATCTCTCCGTTTATATAATCCGCTTTTCTACTAATTCTGCCACAGTGGACATGTCAGATTTTTCCACACTATGCTCCATTTTCCTAAATCACTCACCCTTCTATATCCCTTTGCAGAGTCTCTGTATCCTCTTCACAACTTGTTCCTCTATCTATAATTGTCTCATCAGCAAATATGCAATGCAATCTGCAAATCTGTCACAAATCTGGATCATGAATCACTGCCATGTAAGCATCTTGGTCCTGGGGGTCAGTTTGTTGCTTTTGTATGCCAGTTTTGTTTGTAAGTCAGTATTGCATTTCAATGTGTGTGCCTAGATCTTCACCAAGACAATCATATCTGTCACCATAGATAATCATATCTGTCACCATAGATCCTAGATAGTAGAATGTTCTGACTCAACCCAATGGCATGTTGTTAGTTCTGATCTCAGGTAGACACCAAGCACATAAGTACAATTTTTGTTACGTTGCTGTTGAGGGGGAAGCACAGTAATCATCAATCAGCATTGTAATCATAAATAAAATCATCACTGCAAACAAACCAGTAAAATTATCACTGTAATCATTAGGAACATCACAATAATCATCAGCAATATCACAATGGTTATCACTGCTATCATCAGCGACACAGTCACTCCAAATTTCAGTAAAGTCACCTGCAAAATCATCAGAAACATCACAGTAGTCATAAATGCAATAATCTGTTTCAACCATCATCGCAATAATTAGAAAAACTGGTCAATGGGAATCAGGGGGGAACGTTCTATCTTGGTCGAAGTCATATCAAGCATTTAGGAAGTTGGTGTTGGTGGTTGTTGTCATCTCAGCCTGCAGGACATCACTGTAGAAGTTCTTCAAAGTATTTTCCAAGCCTAACAGTAAGAACACTATTTTGTTTTTAGATGGTGGATGGGAAATGAGGAAAAAATAGTTGCAGCTTTTAAAAGAGGAGGATATATTCGGAGTTGAAGCTCACTGATGCATATGAGAAAATGCTACTTTTTGAGTCCAGAAAAATGCATGCCAATTGCCATGAGAGGACCCTCGGAGTTTAGAGGTAACATTGCTTGCCATGTTTTAGCTAATTGTGCATTGTTATAATGGTCATAATGTAAACCTGGTGACAGGGGAATGACAACTTCTTTCTAAATTAAGCCTGCCCTCAGTAGTTATATCTTCAATCACGTTGCCTTCTCCAGGCTGTGGCTCATATCATCAAACTGCACCTTGGTCTGTTCCACTCTTCCTCTATACTTTCTTCTCCTTGTTCCATTCTTTTCATCTTTCAATCCAAATCGTTGTTCTCTCCCACCCACCAAGAACCATAAAGCATTTCTCACTCATGCATATTCACTACTTTCATCACTGAGCAACTTTTTTATCCTTGATAAATTTGACTTTCAGTGCAATTCGTTGTGTGTCACTTCTCTGAGCTCATTACCTTCCTTTCCACGCTTAATCCCTCCTGTCATACAGGGACTCAAAGCCATACACCCGCTTGACATTCCATCTCAAGTGATGTCCCTAATCCCATCATGTAAATCACAGCCAGCACCATCTCTGATCATTTTCCAGTTCTGACCTCCAGCCACATGCCCTGTCCCCTCGCAAATTAATTTCTGTTTTTGCCCTCTCCCTTGAAAAAGCTTTCTCACAGCTCACTTGCAACTACACTTTTAACATCCCAACATTTTTGCATCTACCTATGAGCTCAATCACTCCAGTCACTGTTGAGGTCCTCATCACCATCAAAATGGTACTAACTCTCTCTCTCTCTCACTGCGGTGATTACCTCAGAACGGACCTCATCATGGTTCCCTGAAGTCCAAGCCAAGAGCCAAACTGATCTGCATGAGGAAGGATACAAATGAACTAAAAACATAACATTGTAAATTACTCACCAAATTAATCAATAAACAAAATGAAATTAATTTAGACTAAACCAATTTGTTATTTCCCCTTTATTTCAATGCAAAAACACCTGTAGCCACCGAATAGATACCTTCAGGTGACATTAAGTAGGATCTCCAACCCTCAGTTGCTCTGGGCAAACCTAATCATGGTTGTCAATTACAAACACATAACCAAAATATATTCATGTATAAATGCTAAATGTAATGCAAATTACAAGGTAAAAATGTTGTAAACTAGAATAATTCTTGCTGAATTATTGAAACTTTCTCCCTAACAGCCTGTCAAAACTATCTTTCAAAACAATATAATCACCTCTTCATCATGTGTGACAAAGAATTAATTACTTGTGCAGAAGGCCACTGTTTGTTGACTCAATCCTGTGTAAAGATCTCATTCAACTTCTTCTCCCTTCTCCTCCCCTACATCACTTGTGTATGGTTACACTAGAACAACTACAACATTTGGTGTGTTAATAGTGTATTTATCATGTCCCAAGACTTCCACAGATAAGCATAAAGATAATAGATACTGTACTGTAATGAGTTCGGCCAGCTGGACCTCATAGAATATGAGTTCCCTGATTGGGGCTGTAAATCTGGTCCAGTTAGGAGCCCTTGCTGACATAGGAAAAGGATACTGACACTCTGATGCTTGACTCTGTATGAGGCAGTATTAAAGTCAAGGACTGTTCATGTATAAATAAAGGACAATCTGGTGATGGGATATTGGCCTCTGTGTAGTTATTTCAGATACTGAGCCAGGAAGGGAGAGATTAAGAAGAATTAATTGAAAAAGCTTATTTTTATGGAAGATAGATGAGCAGATCATTTTAGGAAAGATTATCACCTATGTCACCAAAGATGAGGAAAGGGAGGAGAAGGCAGCTTCATCTCAAGTTACAACCCATTATCTATGCTTCCAAAAGTTACAAATTGCACAAAGTTTTACTTTATCCATTCTTTCTCACCCTCCACTACATTTGCTCCACTGTCTCACCTTCAGAATCCTCATTACTGAGTTACACTGACTCTCACTATTCAAATGTAAATCGGATGTATCCCTATCTCTGGAAACATCTTTACCTCTATACCTTTTCCCATGCACTTACATTGAGATCCACCCTCAACGATCCACTACCACTTTGTGCACTAGAGCTCTGGGCCATATTGGTCCTACTCTCTTCAAGTGCTTCTTCTCTTCATTGACTACTTTTAAAATGACTTGAAACCCATTACTTCCACATTACTGGTATTAGTTACGTCTCCCACCAAAGCCAGGGTGTTTCATGTGGTGAGTGGAGATTGGATCCTTGGCTTGTTAGTATAAGAACATGAAATCCACTCTGCAGTGTCTGCCCCTTACTTTCTCTGTGAAGTCCCATGGAGTGTTTTGTTACACTAAAGTCAACCACATCAAAGGATGAAAACAGGTATTTTGTACTGTTTTTCCTGTAATAAGATGCCAAACAAGGAGGCGCAGATAACAATGTTGTAGCAAACAATCATGACGTGTCTCTCAGCAACATTTGCTTGTTCTAAAGTTGCTTAAATAACTTAAAGCTTAAAGTCACAAATTATATCAGCTACATGTGCTGTACATAATTCAATAAAAAGCAGCTTCCCTTTGAATGTATATGTGCAGGGCAGCTAATGATGCAAACTAAAGTACAATCCTTGAGCTTGTCATTGAACAACAGTTGCATTTTCCTCACTAGCAAAATAATGTCCTGTTCACTCCTCTTCAGTACAGGTGTAGCTACATCAGAAAAGAAAATAATAGAAATTAGGACATGACACTTCCAATTTACAACTGGAATAACAGGTAAGGATGATCAAATGACTTTGTGAAACTATTGGTGTGTCAGACACAGTGCTTTCACACTTTGGGACTGGGTGAGACATTGGGTCAGACATTGTCCTTTAACCTTTAGCCCACAGTCACTAGATTAAATTATCTGTCTTTGGCTGTAAGGGTTCTATATAAAATCAGTTTGATGTCTCAATATTGAATCTCACTCATCAAAGTAGTTGACACAGTAACATCACGCCAATTTATTCAAGGTTATTCTGCAAACATTTCCAATCCTCTTGTCCGCCTCAATTTGGAAATCATATGGACCCAGATTTCGCAGTCTGTATCCCTGATGTGAAATAAGCCTTCCCACAATGCAAAGCAATCCTTACAGTGTGAATTTTCCCTTTCCCAATGTTGTTCTGAGTTTGATGTCAGGTCAAAGGAATCTGCAGGTATTCAGCAACAGTGATGTCATCAAGCAGGGTAAATAACCAATCATGTTGAAATATGCTAATAGGCAGAAAACCAGGAAGTGAAACACTGAATTTTTCACATAACTTAAACATTTCCGACAATGAAAGAAATAATTGGGACATAGATGTGGAATTAAAATAGAAACTGAAATATCATAAGCAAACTTTAAAATTAAAACTGTGCATCTGGTTATTGACCCCTGTACTTTAAATGGGAAGTTTTCCCTACCTAGTCTATCTTTGCCCCCTCATAAGTTTATACACCATAATCAGATCCCCCTCAGCCTTTTCTGTTCTGAGGATAACTCTGTTATCTAGCCTTTCTTCATAGCTGAATCACTTCAACCCAGACGATATCTTGGTGAATCTCCTCTGCACCATTTCCAGTGCAATCACATTCTTCCTATAGTGTGGTGACCAGAACTGCACACAGTGCTCCAGCTGTGGCCGAACTAATATTATATACAGCTCCACCATAACTTTTCTTCATTAGACTCATGAACGTTCCAGGTAAGTCTCCGAACTGTTTCCAATGCTTCTTTAAATAAGGAGACCAGTATTGTATAAAGTATTCCAGAGGTGGTTTCTCCAGTGCCATAACAAAAACATAACCTCTCTACTTTTGTTTTCAAGTGCCCTCACAATAAACAATAACATTCTATTAGCTTTCCTAATTAATTGTTCTACCTGCACTCTCGCCTTTTGCAATTCATTATCAGAACATCCAGGTTTCTCAGCATGTCAGTGCTCTACAATGTTTCACTTCTTAGGTAATACATCTTTTTTATTCTTCCTGCGAGAACGGGCAATTTCACATTTCCCCATGTATCATCCATTTGACAGATCTTTGCCCACTAACTTAACCTAGCTATATTGCTTTCTAGCCTCCTCATGTCTTCTTCACAGCTTAGTTTGCTACCTATTGTTTTTCCTCTGTAAATGTAGCAACGAAACCTTTGGTCCCTTCATCCAAGTCATTTCTATAAATTGTAAAATGTTGAGGCACCAGCACTGATCCCTGTGACACATCATTAATTACATTTCAACAACTAGAAAATGCATATTCTCTGTTCCTGTTTACTAGCTAATCTTCTATCCGTGCCAATACATTACTACCATACCACTAGCTTTTAATTTCTGAAACAACTTTTGCTGTGGCCTCATCTGAAATACCTTCTGGAAATCTAATAACGGTACACCCACCAGTTCCCTTTATCCAAGCACATGTTAATTCCTTAAAAACACCAATAAATTAGCTACACATGATTTCCCTTTATACAAAATTATATTGTGCAAGCCTGAGCACTTTGAATTTTTCTAGGCATCCTGCTTTCATGTCTTCAGTAATAGCTTCTAACATCGTCCCTGAAACAGAAGTCGAGCTAACTGGCCTGTAGGTTTCTGCATTCTGTCTCTTTTCCTTTCCCAACAAAAGGAACCTTTTCCAGATCTAGGAATTTTGGAAAATAAATCCAATGCATCAAATTCCTCATTAGCCACTTCTTTTAAGATCATATGATGAAATCCACCAGGCACGAATGACATGTTAGCCCATTGTTCCAATAATTTACTCAGCCCATTGTTCCAATAATTTACTCACTACAACTTACCTTATGATAATAATTTTATTGAATTCATCCCTCCCTTACATTTCCTGATTTACAGCTATTTCTTAGATGTTACTTGTATCCTCTACATGGAGACAGGTGCAAAATATCTGTCAAATTCATCTACCACCTCCTTATTTTCATTTATTAAACCCCCAGAATCACTTTCTAGAGGACCCACATTCAGTTTATTCACTCTTTTTAAAATGTCTATAGAAATTCTTACTACATTTTAAAATAAAGTATTTCCAGATAACTTTCTGTCACACTCAAGTTTTTCTCTCCTCGTGAATCTTCTAATCGTTCTTTGATTTTATTTTCTGTCCAATTGTTTGGGCCTGTAATCCATCCATGAGCAATTAGATGCCCTTTTTTGAGTTTAATACTGTCTTTAGCTGTTTTTGTTAACTGTGGATAGTACATCTTCCCATTTTTTCTCATTGGAATGTAACTATCCTCTGGATTCTGAGATACCCTTAAGTATCTCCATTGATCTTACCCTTGACCTAATTTTCCAATTCACTTTAGCTAGCTCTGCTTTTATCCCCTCATGGTTTCCCTCATTTGAGGTTAAAATGCTAGTATTGGATCCATTCTCTCTCCCTCAAACTGAATGTAAAATTCAATCCTGTTATGATCACTGTTACCTAGCAACACCTTCACAATGAGTTGTCTCTAGGAAGAAACCAAGGAAAGTCGCTATCTTTCCACCATCTCACCCATCCATCTTTTGCTCCTTCAGGATTGACCTCTTCAGCTGTCTTTGGTGTTCATGAGTTTGGGAGGAGCATATATTGACTTATAAGAACCTACATCTAGTCACCAGTTGCTGCTTCCCCAACTTGTTAGTCCTAAACCTGCTGGGTTTTGCACAGCGCACCTTTCTATTCAGATTAGATCAGCTTCTCCACAGAAGAAGGCCTCCATTAATGATTAAGGCCTGGGTTCTCAGACACGGGCCTGGGAATGTTTTGCAAAGCCCATTGCAAGATGCCATCGATCGAGCTCTATGACAAAATCAAAGAATAAAGTTAAAAGTATTGATTTATGCTTTTGGTACTCCTGATTACATGATCATTGCCAGGCCTGCATTGAGGAAAAAGTCAGGAACTGAGCTGGTTGAAGAAAGACAGTGGAAAGAGGGCATGATGTTGATCTTTAAACTATTAGGCATGGACACTGTAGATGGAAACAGCTGTCTAACCTAGATTATAGTTGATATGAATTGGTATGAAATTAGATTAGAGAATGCAATAGAAAAGGCTCACAGTCATGGGAATGAGGAACAAACACTTGAACAACAAAGTTGCAAAGGTTGGCATGACAACGGAAAGACAAATTTGGGACTAACGGAACAGATTGCAAACAACAACAATGACAACAAGGAACAGATGATGTTGAGAATTGCTGTTGTATTTGGGTTTGGGGTGGCAATGATGGGGAATGCTGGAGCTGGTTCAGGGAATTAACAAACAGCAAGCAGAAATGTAATATTTCAGGAAAACACATTTAATAGATTGGACAGATAAGTGACATATGAAACCTAATGTGCAGACACAATTAGAGGGATGAAAAACAAGGTATTGGATTGTACGCTCAATGAAAAGGTGCTGAATGGTGAGCATGAGGAGGGATTTAAAATGCATTTCCCCCAAAAATAGTTAGATCTATAAATAAAGTCAAAAGCATTGATAATTAGGAACAAGGCATGATGGTGCAAATAAAAACATATGTGTGCAACACTTTACTAGGCAATAGATTGAGTGCTGAGGATAGCTGTAGTAACTTTTTTAAAGAATGGGTATTTTGTAAAGAACATTCAGGTTACAATTCACCTGGATGAATCAGTTGGGAATTTCCAGTTATGAGGAGACTCATGGGATATTGGTAGAGGGTATCCATTTGAGCAGGAAAACGTTTTGATTGGGTGAACAGGGAAGATTACCTGCTTTGGAGATACAAGTTAGAAAATCTTTCTTTACTCAGATAGTATCTGAGGTATGGAATTATTTGCCAGCGACTATTGTACCTTTTAAGGGGAAAGTAGGGAAACATTTCTGGAAGAACGTGCCTGGGGATTATCTTAGGCTGTGTCCATTGCTGTGGTGGATAGCAAGTCAATGGCAGAAGATCAAGCGAAATCCTGTCAAAGCTCAAGATATTGACATGGACAAAAGTATTGGGCCATGCAAAGAGACTGTAACAATCAGATTGCTATTAAATAGTGCTAGCTAGGTACTAGTATGGAGATTAGGAAATGAATTCCCATCTGACCTGTACAGTAAAGGAATTAAGGGTTATGGTGAGTGGGCGGGTAAGTGGAGCTGAGTCTCAAAAAGATCAGCCATGATCTTATTAAATGGCAGGGCAGGCTCGAGGGGCCAGATGGCCTACTCCTGCTCCTAGTTCTTATGTTCTTATACCAGGCATGTTCAATGTGTATCACACTGGATACAAGCAACATGGACCATATCGGGTACAAAGCTACTGAATATAGTAGGTACTGAAAATACAGTAAGGTATACCACAAGGTTTATTGTGGTTAGGTAATAAACAAAAAAAAACAAATAACAAATGCTAATGCTGGAAATCAGAAGCAAAAACAGAAATTGCTGGAAAACTTAGCAGGTCTGGCAGCATCTATTGTCAGAAAGCACAATTTACATTTTTGGTCCAATGACCCTTCTTCAGAAGATTTCTGAAATATCATGTCATGTATCATGTATCAGGTATCATGTCACCTAGCCACTCTTTATATACACATGAACAGTCCTTGACTGTAGTAGTGCCTCATACAGAGTAAGATACAAGAACCTCTGACAAACACCCTTTTTATCTGTCAGTCAGGGCTCTCTATTGAACCAGGTTAATAGCCCCAATCAGGGAACTCACTACAGTTTCGTTAACTCTGCTTTCTCTCCACAGATGCTGCCAGACCTGCTGAGTTTTTCCAGCAATTTCTGTTTTTGATACCACAACAAACCTTCACGCAGTCAGTAAGTTAGCCAGATGCAATCAGCAAGTGGTACTTACATGATACAATCCTAATGTGTCTTACAATTAAAATGCCCAACAATTGGGACAGTCAATATCTGCCACATGCCAGGTACACTTATAGTGCAGCCAATATATGAGTTAACAGCGCTTGTAAAATGTTTTTCAAAAGATATAAAAGCAACTTTTAACTCAAACAAACTTAGATGCTGATCATAAGTTGGAACACAACTGCAGGTTACAACTGCATGACTTGTGGAGGGTATTGCTAGGAAATACATCAACTGCATAAGGGAGACTGGAGAGGTGCATCCTCAACTGTTCTATTTCGATGATGAAATTCAAGAAGCTGCACAAAAGCGCATGGCTGTACTGTTTAGCAATGAGAAATAACTTTTAAGTCCAGTGATTCCGACAGTACTATTACCTGTTTATTACTTGTGTTTAATTGCACACTGGTGATGGACAATTACTAGGAATTCATTTGTGCACTTAAAAATAGACACAGATTGAAAATCATAGCATTCCTACAATGAGGAAGCAGGCCATTTGGCCCATTGAATCCACACCACCCCTCCAAAAAGCATCCCAACCACACCTACTCCCCTACACTATCCCAATAACCCTTCATTTCCCATGGCTAATCCACCTGGCCTGCACATCCCTGGATACTATGGGCATTGTAGCACAGCCAATCCATCAAACCCGCACATATTTGGACCGTGGGAAGAAACTGGAGTACCTAGTGGAAACCCACACAGACACAGGGAAAACATGCAAACTCCACACAGACAGTCACCCGTGGCTGGAATTGAACCCAGTTCCTGGAGCTGTGATGTAGCAGTGCTAACCACTGAGCCACCGTGCCACCCAATAGTGCATACTGAGTCAGGATATGCATGTGTGAAACATGTAACCCTGTAAATAAACGCTTGTAAAAGTTTGTTTTAACCAGCTTCAATTTTTTCCTTCACCAACTGGCCTGTTGGAACATAACACTGAAAGCAGAAAGACGAAGAATGGAAAAACTAAAATGCTAGTAAGTTTTGTGAAAAATAGCAGAAAGTCAAGTATAAATGGTTGGTGTATAACCACTCTCCCAATGTTGTTGGCATCTGAACCATACAATTAGTGGAAGAACAAAGTGGGTACATGGATTACATCCTTCATAAAAAAGAAACAAGGTATTGCCTTAGTACTTTCATGTTCTACAACAGGTAAAATTAGAAGTATTTTGTGACATGGATGTCCATCACTTCGATGTTAAAAAAATTTGCATTTTCCATTAAGTTCTTGGGTGAAATTTATAAGAAAAATGACCCATTATATACATATGAGGGAAAGTTAGGTTTTGATAGATTTTGGAAAACGTTTTTTTTCCATGGAAGAATATAGTCTGAATTTGAACAGATTGTACAAAATATTAACAAAATTAAGTTTACAGTTCCCTGAATCAGTACTAGCATTTAAGTTGCTATATTGTATTATATTGTCTCATATGAATAAGTTGCTGGTTCTTTCTGAGGTGCCAGTGAGGTTTCTGGCTGATTTTTCTTTGGCATAAATATAGTTAATTAATGAACTACCTATAAGTACAATAAAACAGGTCAGTACAACTTTGCAGAAATGGAGGGGAATTTGCCACTGATGAGTTCAGAGCCACATCTGAATACTACAACTGCAAGTCCTTTCAGCAACGGGGTCTGTGAAAGGAACGATATGGTGATCGATGATATGATACATACAATTTTAGCTGATCAACAAAATTGCAAATTGACAGTCGCCTTGGCACAGGAAATCTAAAAAGCTTCAGATGATTGGAGGATGTATCAATTAGATTTTGGGCAAAATTCCAAGCTGTCTTCTGTGCTGTGATATAGTCCTCCTGCTCCAGAAGGTACTACAATTAGTTGAATGTTTTTCTAAACATTTAAATGCTTTCCATGCAGGGTCACAGATTTTCATCAAAGTTGTGATCTCCAAGACAATTCAAAAGGGAACTCCAGTGTTGCATAGGCTATTGGAGACTGAGTTTAATGCAAGTGATTTTGTACTTTATAAAAGGGAATGGTAAAACCTTAATACCATAATAAATCATGTGGTAACTTAGTAGTTAATAGATATGGCAATAAACTGCTGTGCTTTATCCTTCATGATTAATCAGAATTAATTGCAAAATCTCAGATGCTCTACAGCTGATAGAAGTGAATTAGATACCTTGAACCTCCAATGGTCATGATTCTTGTGAAGAACGTGCTAAGGAACATAATATGGTAGATCAAGGGTTGACTAAAAATAATGTAAATCATCATGAAACACAGGACAGAGCTATAACAATCAAAGGCCAATTGCCCGTGACAGGCAATTATTCCAGAGAGGTGCACTGCATGGAGAGAGCTCACAATTGTGGGAAGTGCAAAAATAGGTACTGGCAAGTTTAAATACTGGTTTTTAAATACTGATTTAAAGACTGGATGTTCAAGATGATAGCTAAGAATTAAGGCCCATAAGCTGGCAGAAAGAAATAAAAGAGTGGAGTATAAGAAAGCACAGTAGAAGCATTAATAGTGGAACTGGAAGTGACATTTGTGTCAGAAAACAGTGTCCTACTGGAGAAAAGCCCTTTAATGGTACAAGAGGGAGATCTCACAGTAGTAATCCCAACAAACATAAGTTTGTAAGTAGAAGGTATATCTTGAATAGATAACATAATAAAATAATGGCCACAGAAGAGTTTTGGAACAGGAATCCTCCTGGTTGGTTACTTAGACTGGGCTAGATACTAGTTTTGATATCACAAACTAAAACACAAGCTGCTGGAAAAGATCAGCAGGTCTGGCAGCATCTGTGAAGAGAAAATCAGAGTTAACGTTTCAGGTCCAGTGACCCTTCATCAGAACTGATGGGAGCTGGGAAAATGTTGGTTTATATGCAGAGGATAGGGTGGGCGGAGGAGGTAAAGAGTAAATGATGGGTGGAGATAGAGCCCAAAGAGAGAGGAGAACAGTTGGACAGACAAAGGAGTTGATAACGATCTGGCTAGGAGGGTGAATAGCTGTTAATGGAGACTGTTAGTGGCTAACAATAGGCAGTGTGTAATGGCAGACTGTGTGATAACAAAGCCTGGTGTGTGGGGTTGGGGGTTAGGGCATGGGAGAGTTTAGGCCCTAAAATTATTGAACTCAATATTGAGTCCTAAGGGTTGCAGGGTCCCCAAGCGGAAAATGGGGTGTTGTTCTTCCAGCTTGTGCTGAGCTTTGCTGGAACACTGCAGCGAACCTGATAGAGAGGTGTTGGCCAGGGAACAGGGTAGTGCATTAAAGTGGCAGGCAACTGGAAGCTCAGGGTCTTTTTGCGGGCATAACATAGATGTTCTGCAAATCGGTCACCCAGCCTACGCTTCGTTTCCCCAATGTAAAGGAGACCACGTTGTGAGCAGTGAATATAGCAGACTAGATTGTGGGAATTGCAGGTTGATCGCTGCTTCACCTGGAAGGTATGTTTTGGGCCCTTGGATTCTGAAGAGGGAGGAGGTAAGTGGGCAGGTGTTACACCTTTGGCAGATGCCGGGGAAGGTGCTATGAGGCGGTAGGGCGTTGGTATTTGGAGTGAAGGAAGTGTGGACCAGGGTGTCCTGGAGGGGATGCTCCCTGTGGAAGACAGACAAGAGAGGGGAGGGGAATATGTGTCTAGTAGTGGCATCTCGCTGGAGGTGGCGGAAATGGCAGCTGATGATCTTATGAATATGGATGCTGCCCCCCACCCCAGGCACCACCCTATCTTTTGCGCATAAACCAACATTTTCCTAGTTATTACCATCAGATTCGAGGAAGGGTCACTGGACCTGAAACGTTAACCGATTTCTCCTCACAGATGCTGTCACACCTGCTGAGATTTTCCGGCAACCTCTGTTTTTGCTTCTGATTTACAGTATCTTTCGGTTTTAACTAGTGTTGATGTGCTGGATGGTGAAATACCCAATAGTAAAAAATGTTTTAAAAGGAAATAAAATTTTTAAAAATATAGCCTCAATAATTACATTCTCAATTTCCGTTCTTTAGGAGACTTAATTAACATGAATACAATTGATCTCAGTTGTATTCTTCACCAACTGGCTTTCTGGCATATAACAATTTCAGACAAACAGGGCATCGGAATCTGATTAGACCTCCCTTCATCCTTCCTGCTCCTGAAGTCTGTGCTTCAGAAACACCGTTTAATATTTCAATATCCCACACTGCCTATTCTCTACCGTTGTACTGTCAGGTCCCAGAGTGTGAAAGGCCAGTATCTGACCTACAGTCCCCTCCATGTTTGGTTAATCATTTTAGTACTCCCTGGATTTATTACAAACTCACCTCTCGGAGAATTGAGTCAAACTCTTCCTTGTTGAAGAGCTGCTCATTAATAAATGAATCTACTTCTGTTTCATGTTCAACAGCCTAAAGAGAAAGAGGAAGAGAAGCCAAAAAATTAAACAATGCACACAGGAGATTCAGCCTTGAGCACAATTGATGACCTCGGGGCAAAGTTCTCTTGTATTTAGAAGATATTTTTTACTCAAGTTTTTGATCAAACTCATTTGTATAGTGATGAATATAAAATCTGCTATGAACCAACTCAAACAGGTAGTACATTAGATTGTAATTTGTTAAAAACCTTTGGCATATTATTAACCTGGAGAGTGTTCAGAAGAGATTTATCAGGATGTTGCTGGGTATGGAAGGGTCAAGTTATAAAGAAAGGCTGGACAGGCTGAGACTTTTATCGCTGGAGTGTAGGAGGTTAAGAGGTGACCTTATAGAAGTTTATAAAATCATGGGTGGTATAGATAGGGTTAATGGTAGTTGTCTTTTCCCTAGGACTGGGGATTTCAAGGCGAGGGGGCACATTCTTAAGGTGAGAGGAGAGAGATTTAACAAAGACATGATGGGAAATTTTTCCCATGGAGGGTGGTTTGCATTTGGAATGAACTTCCTGAGGAAGTGGTGGATGTGGGCACAATTACAACATTTAAAAGACATTTGGATAGATACATGAATAGGAAAGGTTTGGAGAGGTATGGGCCAGGAGCAAGCAGCTGGGACTAGTTTAGTTTGGGATTATATTTGGCATGGACTGGTTGGACAGAAGGATTTGTTTCTGTACTGGATGACTCTTTGTAAAAATAAATTGCTTGATGTATATATCATTCTTGTGTAGTAGTCAGTTTTAGAGTAATTTTTAAAAAAAAATAGTCGTTTTAGAAATATATTTTAAAGATGTGCTTTTCGTGTCTGTGCCTCTAAAAGCAGTTTAATCTTGAGAGCCCACCACAAAGATCTGCAAAAGGTTCAATGGGTGGGAACTTGCAACGTCAATTAAGTCAATCTGGGACATGGTTAGTCTTCTTGGCAGAGCCAGTTTTGAGTGCAATTTTCTTTCAGCTAGCACAAAACAAAAATCGCAGAACTTTGATTTGGGCTGAACATAATTTGCACTTGAAATTACTTAATCTCTTCTGATGGCTTAGCCAATTTCTGGCAAATTGCACCGAGAAGGCCAGTGCAACTGAGCAGAAGTTCTTGTTCATTGGATTCATAGATGGTGTGTTACTCTGTTTTTAACACTTTGTCTGGTACTTGGTCTCTTGTGTTCCTACCCCCTGTGGGGATAACAGCTACTCAACGGACACTTTCTATTCGATCCAAGGTTGACATCCCAGAGCTACAATGAACCAGGGTGAATCCCTCACTGCTCTATCAAGAAAGAAAGCTCAGCTCTGGTCAGTTAAGGATATCCTGAAGCTTCCTTGAAAAAAATGCAATTTCCCCATTAATCCATGGGATTTCAAGATAACTCAAACTTGAGAAGAAACATCCTTGAAGGTGCCAACTGTCAGGAGTGTCTCTGATTGGGTGAAATGGATGCCAAGCTCTCATTGAGTCCACTCAGGACCCTCAAAGCCATAAAAGGTCATCTTCAATCCCAAGGGACTGTTTTAAAGATCACTTTGCTTTATTTTGGATTGAAGGTGAAAATGGAAAACTTTGTATGAAGATGTTTGCAGTCGTAGAAACATGTTACCTGGAGCAAGGTGTGAATTGTGATTGTGATTGAAATGTTGCTTTCTGAGAGAAATGAGAGAGCAGTCCAGACAAATAGGCATGCCCTGTTGTGTATTTCCAGGCAATTCTGCCTGGAGACAGTATTTTGATTGGCTTTTTAATTGGCACCAGTTGTGTGTACAAGAGAGTTCAGCATAGGAACAACGTTCTGATTGGGCTGGCTGCAGGTTAACACAGAGCCAGTGAGAGGAATGAAACCACAGATGACAGAAGCCCTGGAAGCTTGCAGCATCAACATATCTCTTCCTCTCCCCCTCTCTCTCTATGTTTCTCTAGTCTGAAAAGTTAACCTCTCTGGGCAATTTCTCTGTCAAAGGAGCAGGGAAGACCTACATTTGGAATTGTTGAAAGGAAGAATTCTAAAGTCTAGAGTAAAAGAAAGATTAATTAGTGAACTAAAGACTGACCATTGCTTTGCGAATAACATCAAGGTATCATTGAAAAAAGGAAAAAGGGCTATATAACCAACTAGTTTTGTGATTTTGGACCAGTGATTCAGAACCGTGTTCCTCTGACTATGTTTCTTTCATGATTACAGTATCTAGTTATTTTTGTGTTCATGGGGCAAAAACCCAGTACTATTTTAAGCTAATTCAGTCAATTAGACAGTCACTCAAAATTGAGCAGTTTGGTGGTTCAGATTTGTGACAGCTTGGGGAATGTTGGGGTTTGATTTATCACACACCATCCCCAACAAGTTCTGACATTGCTGAAGATGACTGATTGAGAAGATAAATACACCACCCAGACATGATGGGCACACCTGACTAAGTATAAAACTCGACTCCATTTTCTCCCCCTTGGTCCAGGAACTCCCGACCTATATCCATGACACCACCCATGCCCTCCACCTCCTCCAAAACTTCCAATTCCCCGGTCCCCAACACCTCATCTTTACCATGGACATCCAGTCCCTATACACCTGCATTCCCCATACAGATGGCCTAAAGGCCCTCCGCTTCTTCCTGTCCCGCAGGCCCGACCAGTCCCCCTCCACTGACACCCTCATCTGCTTAGCCGAACTCGTCCTCACCCTCAACAACTTCTCTTTCAATTCCTCCCACTTCCTATAGACAAAGGGGGTGGCCATGGGTACCCACTGGGCCCAAGCTATGCCTGCCTCTTTGTAGGTTACGTGGAACAATCCCTCTTCCGTAGCTACACTGGCCCTAAACCCCACCTCTTCCTCCGTTACATTGATGACTGTATCAGTGCCGCCTCGTGCTCCCACGAGGAGCTTGAACAGTTCACCACTTCACCAACACCTTCCACCCCAACCTTAAGTTCACCTGGACCATCTCTGGTACCTCTCTCTCCTTCCTGAACCTCTCTGTTTCCATCTCTGGCAACCACCTGGAAACCGATATTCATTTCAAGCCCACCGACTCCCACAGCTACCTACAATACACCTCCTCCCACCCACTTTCCTGCAAAAATGCCATCCCCTATTCCCAATTCGTTCACCTCCACCGCATCTGCTCCCAGGATGAGGCATTCCACTCCCATATATCTCAGATGTCCTCGTTTTTCAAGGACCGCAACTTCCCCCCCTCAGTGGTCGAGAACGCCCTCGACCGTGTCTCCCGCATTTCCCGCAACTCATCCCTCACACCCCCTCCCCGCAATAACAACCAAAACAGAATCCCCCTCGTCCTCACGTACCACCCCAGCAACCTCTGGATCCAACGCATCATCCTCCGACACTTCTGCCATCTGCAATCCGACCCCACCACCAAAGACATTTTTCCCTCCCCACCCTTATCTGCTTTCCAGAGGGACCACTCTCTCTGTGACTCCCTTGTCCGCTCCACACTCCCCTCCAGCCCCTCCACACCCGGTACTTTCCCCTGCAACCGCAGGAAGTGCTACACCTGCCCCTACACCACCCCCTACACCACCTACGCTCGGTTCGCACTAAACAACTGCACCTCCCAGTCGCGAACCATTTCAACTCCCCCTCCCATTCCTCAGACGACATGTCCATCCTGGGCCTCCTGCAGTGCCACAACGACGCTACCCAAAGGTTGCAGGAACAGCAACTCATATTCCGCTTGGGAACCCTGCAGCCCAATGGTATCAATGTGGATTTCACAAGCTTCAAAATCTCCCCTCCCCCTACCACATCCCAAAACCAGTCCAGCTCGTCCCCGCCTCCCTAACCTGTCCTTCCTCCCACCTATCCCCTCCTCCCACCTCAAGCCCCACCCCCATCTCCTACCTACTAACCTCATCCCGCCCTCTTGACCTGTCCGTCCTCCCTGGACTGACCTATCTCCTCCCTAACTCCCCACCTACACTCACCTACTGGCTCCATCCCCGCCTCTTTGACCTGTCTGTCTCCTCTCCACCTATCTCCTCCACTATCCATCTTCTATCCGCCTCCCCCTCTCTCCCTATTTATTTCAGAACCCCTTTCCCCTCCCCCATTTCTGAAGAAGGGTCTAGGCCCGAAACGTCAGCCTTCCTGCTCCTCTGATGCTGCTTGGCCAGCTCTACACCTTGGTATCTCAAGTATAAAACTGTGTTCTTTTATGTGTTCCTGGAATGCCAATGCTTTGGATGCTACATAAAGTGTGTAGATCAGGATCTACAATTCTCATTACAATATCAAAGAAAAAGCTTTGAAGTGAGTGTTAATCAATTCTGGAGTTTCTGGACATGTAATTCAGATTCTGAATTGCTAATCAGCTGACAATCACTGATTTGTTGCTCATTCTTTCCTTGAACTTGTCCTCAGAATTTTTTTGCTATTCTTCCTTAAAGGATTACAATTTCTGTTCAGTTCTATACAAACTGGGTGGCCTCTACTACAGCAGTCTGAGCCACACAGCTATGGGGCTCATGCCCCAGGCCGAAGGTCAGACTACAGAATCCAGGATGGCACGTCCAGTGTAATCCAGACAGCATTCAGCATTGTCAAAGACAGTGCCTTTTCGATGAGATGTTAAACCAAGATCCGATCCTTCTCAGATAACAAGGTGTAGAGCTGGATGAACACAGCAGGCCAAGCAGCATCAGAGGAGCAGGAAGGCTGACGTTCCGGGCCTAGACCCTTCTTCAGAAATAGGGGAGGGGAAGGGGGTTCTGAAATAAATAGGGAGAGAGGGGGAGGCGGATAGAAAATGGATAGAGGAGAGGATAAGTGGAGAGGAAACAGACAGGTCAAAGAGGCGGGGATGGAGCCAGTAAAGGTGAGTGTAGGTGGGGAGGTAGGGAGGAGATAGGTCAGTCCAGGGAGGACGGACAGATCAAGGGGAAGGGATGAGGCTAGTAGGTAGGAGATGGGAGTGGGGCTTGAGGTGGGAAGAGGGGATAGGTGGGAGGAAGAACAGATTAGGGTGGCGGGGACGAGCTGGGCTGGTTTTGGGATGCGGTCGGGGGAGAGGAGATTTTGAAACTTGTGAAATCCACATTGATACCATTGGGCTGCAGGGTTCCCAAGCGGAATATGAGTTGCTGTTCCTGCAACCTTCGGGTGGCGTCGTTGTGGCACTGCAGGAGGCCCAGGATGGACATGTCGTCTGAGGAATGGGAGGGGGAGTTGAAATGGTTCGCGACTGGGAGGTGCAGTTGTTTAGTGCGAACCGAGTGTAGGTGTTCTGCAAAGCGGTCCCCAAGCCTCCGCTTGGTTTCCCCGATGTAGAGGAGGCCACAATGGGAACAGTGGATGCAGTATACCACATTAGCAGATGTGCAGGTGAACATCTGCTTGATGTGGAAAGTCTTCTTGGGGCCTGGGATGGGGGTGAAGGGGGAGGCGTAGGGGCAGGTGTTGGAGGCGGGAGAAGGGGTCAGTAGAGGGAGGGTTAGGCTCGTGATTGAAGAAGTAAGCGTGGAGGTGGAGGCGGCGGAAAAACTGCTCTATGTCCAAACGTGACCGGTATTCGTTGATGTGTGGGTGGAGGGGGACAAAGGTGAGCCCTTTACTGAGGACTGACTGTTCGTCCTCAGTAAGGGGGAGGTCTGGGGGGATGGTGAAGATCCGGCAGGGCTGGATGCTACTGTCTCCTCTGGAGCTGCTGGCTGTGGAGGCTGTGGGCGGAGTGACGTCGGCGTCAGCTGTGGGCGGAGTTGCGTCGGCAGCGGTGGGCGGAGTTGCGTCGGCAGTGGGCGGAGCGGGGTAGGAGGCGGCAGTAGCGGTGACGGTAGGTGCGTCCTCAGTGTCTGTGGTGTTGGCCTCAGAAGCAGAGGCGGTGGTATCAGCAGCGGTGTCGATGGCGTTCGCTGTCCCGGAAGTGGTCCCGGCGGCAGAGGATGTGACGTCATCCGTGGTTGCTCCGACAGTGGCCACATGGCCAATGGCGGCGGGCACATTGTGGGGAAGGTCCTGGGTAGGGTTGGGGATTTGGGAGGTGGAGTAGGCCCGTTTTGGGTGGTAGGCACCAGTAAGTTTACCGTACTTACGGTTTTTTTTCTCCTCTGTTTAGTGTTGACTTAAAAATGATTCCATGACATTATCTGAAGAAGAGCATGACCTAATCAATACTTATCTTTCAGGTCAATTATCTAATTATTGTTTGTGGAATCTTGCCATGAACAAATCAGCTGTTGTGTATCCTACATTACAACAATGACTACACTTGAGAATATTTTCATTAGCTGTGAATTGCTTTGGGATGTCCTGAAACTGTGAAAGGCACAAAACAAGTGCTATTTCTTCCTTTACTGTAGCCCATATATAGACGTGCACAGTTCATATCTGCATGTCTAACCAACACATTGAAGTGCTGCACTATACACACCAGTATAGTTTTCATTTACTCTCTAGTTTGTTCTCAGTTTATTAATCCCAGTTTGACCTATGATGGGTTGCTGAAATTGGTGCCATGAACCTTGCATTTGGGAGGGAAAAAGAAATAAGTCAGTGTTTCTATCCCTGATCATTATCAAGTGAAGCCTGGTAGAAAATGTGTGCATGCATTGGGCATTAGGTAATGACACAGCAGGCTCAGCTGTAATGCTCCTGCTGCTCAACATTCTCCTAACACTCTGCCCAGATACAAACCTAAAGCGTGAGCAATTGAATAAGATAGTAGAGACCACCCAGTATACATTGAACTGAGCAGGAATTGAAGTCAGGATAACTTTTTATGAGTTTTAAAACATATGCAAACAGTACACTGAGAATCCGCTATCAGTTAAATAAACGCCTGAATAACAGTTACCTGTGGTACTGGGTCATAAAATGACACTGACTTACCGTAGCTGTTTGTGTGGTTGGGGGCTTCAGTTGTAACTCAGGCTCAGTAGATGTGTTCAGCACTGTTGTGTTTGTACAGGAGATACATCTCCCCGTCCTGTAATGCAGATGAAATTATAAAGCTTTCTGTACAGAATGATGATTTCAATTTCTTATTGAGGGTTCAGCATTTACTTTAATCTGGACCCGACACCAGTCTCACTGAGCTCATGGTATATAGTTACTTTAACATCTCCAAATGCTGTCCCAGTTGCTCTGATTACATACCTCATGTCCTCAGGGGCGGCAGGGAAATGGCAGTGGGAGTGGAAGCCTCCATGGCATTGGGTGCAGCATTTCAGATCTCCTCCAGCTTTGCACACCCCACAGCTGGGGTTCAGGGGCTGATTTTCACGGGTCTGCAACAGGATCTGAAAATATAAACACGTGGCATTAGGAATAGCATTACTCGTCCCAGACAGTGCAATGACTGAGCAAGAATGGAACTTCCTGCCTTTAGCCTGGGGCAGCTGGATGCAGAAAGGACAGAAGTTGATTTTAAAGAGAAAGGGGATAAAGAGAAGGGGGAAGGGCTACAATTATGAAAAGAGAGGGGACTAGGATAGCAGTGAGGGAAGAAAAGAAGGAATATTAAAGGTATAGGGTAACAGGATGGATAGAAATGAAGTAGAGATGGATGGAGAAGCAGGTACTTGGATAGAGAAGAAGAAACATTGAGAACTAGACTATAGGATGCAGGATGAAGGTTACCATTGTTCAAATAAGGCACTGTCTTATGCCATCAATAACAGAAGAAGAGGGAAAATATCATAATGGAGTGACAAAAGGAAAACACAGAGGTCCCAAATTGTAGTCATGTGATGGATGAGGGGGAATAAATAGATGTCAAAATGTCATGTGATGAGTTCAGAAGGGAAAGCTTAAGATTGCTATGGTGGGACTGGGGAATGGGCATCCAGACTGATCATGAAGGAGAGAAGAGTGAGTTCCAAGACAATGAGGAACATTGATCCCGAACTGTGTCGATGAAAATGGGATGCAGGGGCGGAGTGGGTGAGAGTTGGAAATTCCATGCTGTGTCCGCGATTGCAGAATGGGTAAGAGATGGGGGAACCTTGGAGCTGAGACTGTGATAGTATGGGGAAGACTGGTACAGGAATAAACGCAAACATCATGCGATGAATTGTGTTACCCGCTGTTTCTGATTGGCAGTAAAAGAAGCTGAAGAGGAAGATGAAGCTGAAGAGGATGTTGAAGATGGTGCTGTGGTTATTGCTGTGGATGGCAGTCCAATGCTAGGAGGATGTTCTTTGTTGGTAAATGGTGATGATCTCAGCAGCTGCTCCAACTCTCCCACCAACTTCTGCTGATATAAGACCACCTAGTGCACAAAACAGACAATCACTGTATAGGAAAGTGAGGAATCGTCAACACAAACTTATAAAACAAATCCCTGACAAAATGCAATTCCCAATTCCAGCAAAATGGATGGGAAGGAAGCTAATGGAGGGAAAACAGTCAGAAAGAGAAGACCATGCTGTGTGAAGAATTGGAGTGCAAAATACTGATGTGTAGTGACAGGAGCAGAGTGTAGGATGAGGGCTGAGGGAAATATGATGGGGGAATAAGGGGAGTGCAGCTGAAAGATGAGGGAGACCTGGTGAAATGACCAAGGCGGCTTTCTTCTGGATTGATTTGGGTAGATTGTTAGGAATATAATTCAAATTATTGCCAAAGTTTTTGGTTAACTTCTGAAGTGTTAGTGAAGTTAGTCAATGTATCTTGGAGATATGGATGTTGGGATGATAAATACACAGATGAACGTACAGGTAGCTAGCATTGAGATGTGACACATTATTAACTAATGTTCTGTAGGTGGCAATAAAAGCAGTTTTGAGCAATATTTGTAAAGATTAAAATGAGGATATAATTCGTAGAATTTCATAGAATACACATCAGAGAAACAAGATATTCACCAAACCAATCTTTGGCGTTCATACTGAAACCTCTTCCCTTCTCTGCTGTTATAACACAATCAGCCTTCATATTCTTGTCTAGCTTTTTCTTAAACACAACTCTACTATTCGTTTCAACTACTCCCTGTGCTAATGGGTTTTACATCGTCATCACACTGGATAAATAAGTTCCTTCAGGATTCCCTATTTGATTTTTTGGTGACTCGCATATTAATGATCATTAGTTTTGCACTCCAGCAAAAGTGGAAATTTTATATCAGTGTGTACTCAACTAAAACCTTTCCTAATTTAAAAGTTATATAATAGCCTTCTCTTTTCAAGAGAAAAGAGTTCCAGTCTTTCTTCAGAGGCATAAGCTTCCATTTCTAGACTTGGATTTATGAGCTTTCCTCGAACCCTCTATATCTATAAAGGTAATTGAACCTCAAGTTTTTATATCTTCCCCAGTTTTCAATTTTGTATCTCTGGAAAGAAACTTTAGCATTTAGTTTGTTTTTTTTAAAAATAGCCTAATAACCTACATCACAGCTTTTAGTAATTTGTTTATTTGCACTCCGAGGTCTCTCTCCTCATCCATCCTATTTATAGAATCATAGAATCCCTACAGTGTGGAAGCTGGTCATTCGGCCCCTCTGAAGAACATCCCAATCAGACCCACTGTCCTATGCTATCCCTGTAACCCTGCATTTCCCATGGCTAATCCACCTCGCCTGCACAGCTTTGGGACTGTGTGAGGAAACCAGAGCACCCAGAGGAAAGCAGACACGGGGAGAATGTGTTAGGTTCTTATTATCCAAATATTATGAGACTTCATTAATTTTCTTACCAGAGTGTATTAGTATCTCATACTTAACTCTATTCAAATTTGTTTACCAATTATTTTCTTATTCCACAAGTATATTAATGTCTTCTTGGAATTTATTATTTTGCATTATATTTTATTGACTATCTCCCCAATTTGGTGTCCTCTGCAAATTTGGATTTATGATTCCAAAGCCTATTATTAATACAAATGTTGAACATCAGTAATCTTAGTGAACTCACTCATCCTTCAAGGAAACGACTTTCCATCTCTGTCACTCAAAATTACTATCCTTTATTCCCACTCTCTGCTTTCTATCCTCGTCTTCTTTCTACACTTGGCCCCTGAGTTTTAGAAATGGAATAGACAGGGATTATTGAGCAGTATCCTGGGTTTGGAAGTGAGATTTTAACTTGGTAGTGTTTTAGAGATGAAGGTATGGGTATTATTGTAAAGTGGAAGTTAAAGGTATTATTGGGAAGTATTTTTGAGATGGAAATGTATATGTCATTGGACAGTCATTGAAGGAAAATGGCTTAGGTGAAACCTGGTTTCACTTAGCACTGGTACCAATTGTACTGCAAGACATCACTGCCATTGTGATTTTTCTAATCATAGGACGGTCGTGAATGACATGGCTTAAAAAGGAGGCCTTTGATCTATATTTATATGACAGTACTATTTGGATCACTAAGGATGCCAATCTTGGGTTGCTTTGGGCAGTTTTTTGTTGGCGCTTTCTATATTAATAGCATGTATGACACTAAACATAGTTAACTCACTGGTGACGGATGTTACTTCAACTGCTTTGAAGTTATGTTCTGTAGAACTGAGTGGGTTGATGGTGACCTCAGTTGGACGTGACTTACTTGGACTCCTGCTGTGCTCTGCGATTGCTGATTCTTCTCAGATGTTGAGGATAATGTAGCTCGGGTGTCACCACCTTTGTTAGTGCAGGATAAACATCTCCAGGTACCACTGAACAGATAAAGAAATAAAACCATAATTTGTGATGGAGCAGTTCAGACAAATCGTCAGGAATACATTGGGAGAGCAAATACATTATTATAAATCTACAGACGAAAGTTTAAGATGCAAATATAAGAGTGATATGGTTTCGTATGTAATTATATTATACACTGGAATCTATATGATAAAGGTTAAATTTGTAACAGGCTGTTATAACAGCTTTACAATGAGGGTAGAATGTGTTATAGAGAATATTATGACTGAGAGCTTTATAATGAGGATTGGCAATGCAAAAGAGTATTGTAACTGAGAGTTTTATAACAAAAATGGGATGTGCAGTAGTAAGTATTGGAACTGAAAGCTTTGTAATGAGGGTCAACATAGGAAGTTGTTTATCACGGTTGTGATGCACCCCAAAGTCAAATATCCCACAAAATCAGAATGAAGGAAATGGACTGGAAAATTGGACAGTATGCATAATAGGCAATTTGAATTTCACAGCAATGCCATGAGTTAAACTTATTCCCACTGCCTCTGCTTGTACATGGAAACTGGCACCTTGGTTGGGGTGCTGGAGGTTTCGGACTAATATGAAGTGGCACCAAAACATTGGCTCATAATTTAAACTGGCTCTTTTCCAGTACAGTCAGAAGTGCCATCTATTGCATCAGATGTTAAACTGAGGTCTGTCAATTGTAGCAGTAGATGTCAGTTATGTAGGTCCTGCTACATAAAGAAACCAACAGTAGCTTGCCATCTAAATGATTGACTCTTGTTTCAAACTATTAAGTGTGTCTCGCTAATTGGCCAGAACTATAGAAAGTTCCAGAAAACCGTCTAAAAGGTATAAAAACATGGTTCACCTGCAAATTGCTCTGGGGAACTGCTCTTGGAATCATGAGGCCTTCTGAGGAGATCAGCATGACAAAAGACAGAGACCAGTTGACCATCCAGAGAGAGAGAGAAAGAAAGTAACTTCGCAGACCCAGAGAGAGAGCCACAGAGAGAGCGACTGCATAAATTTACAAGAGGCTTGGGAAATATTGTAACCTTGTGGGGCCAAACAGGATTAGAGGTACTATGTTTAGTACTAAAGATTATTGTAACTTTGTTCTTAATAAAGTTGGGATGTTTTGTATTAGTGCCAGGTTGTGTACATATTGAATTGAGTGCTTTGGTGTTGTAGGACACCTGGGCAAATTCATTCATAACATTCTGGTCGGAGTTGTCTGTAACTTGTTTAAAGAGGAACCAGACAACACAACACTCTTGGGTACAAGCAGGAAAAATCATTGTGCTAGTTGAAGAAGGGCAAAGAAAGTCACCTTGTATTCTAGCCATTACTTATCCATTAAAGCCAACACCGTGTAAATAAACTAACTAGATCATTAATGTTCTTGGAACCCAGTTGAATGCAGATTATCAGCCATATTTACCTACATAGCAACCATGACCGTACATCAAAAATAATTCATTGACTCAGCACCACATTGGAGGAGATGGTCTTGGCATATTGAATAACTAATTCCATGGTCACAGTATGCCCTCTAGCACCCCTCCTGAGTGGGCATTCTTCATGGTGGAGTCGCAGGTAAACAGGGTAGTGAGGAGGGCGTTTGGTGCACTGGCCTTTATTGGTCAGTGCATTGAGTATAGGAGTTGGGATTTCATGTTGTGGCTTTACAGGACATTGTTTAGGCCACTTTTGGAATACCACATTCAATCCTGGTCTCCCTGCTATACAAATGATGTTGTTAAACTTGAAAGGTGCAGAAGAGATTTACAAGAATGTTGCCAGAGTTGGAGGTCTTAAGCTATGGGGAAAGGCTGAATAAGCTGGGGCTATTTTACCTGGAGCATCAGGGGCTAAGGGATGACCTTACAGAGGTTTATAAACTCATGAGGGGCATGGATAGAGTGAATAACCAAGGTCTTTTCCCTAGGGTA